TAATTAGAACAAAGAAAATGCAGTTGACCATTTTTAAGCAAAAGAAGAGTCTTAAAACAAATACTTTTATAAAAATGCAATTTTAAGTAAGATTAACATGCATTTCTCCTATATGGAGCAATGCTTGATTAGCATAGCAAACCTTAACTTCAAAAAATCATATCTTGAAAACTACTTGGTATATTNAGAACAAAGAAGGTGCAATTGACCATTTTTAAGCAAAAGAAGAGTCTTAAAACAAACTTTTATAAAAATGCAATTTTAAGTAAGATTAACATGCATTTCTCTTATATGGCACAATACCTGAATAGCAAACCTTAACTTCAAAAAATCATATCTTAAAAACCACTCGGTATATTATTTTAAAATTTTGGATTCTTACTAATAAAAAGATGCTCTACACGATGGTGACGAAGAAAAAAAATTACTCGTAGGGTTTTTCTTAGATTACTTCGATTTACTTCGAACTTCTTCGAACACTGTTCGAAGAAAAGTTTGCCAATGTTCAATTTCAAATTGCATATCATTCTAAAGGGCAAGTCCACCCCTTTAGAATGGTCTTTATTTGAAGGAAATCGGCCTAATAGTAATTGAGTAATGATTTTTTAAAGTTAAAGTATTTTAAATTCATTTAAATTAGAAAAAAAAATATTTAGTTCAAAGTGTATGGACTTTTTGAAATTTTTTTAGTGCATTTGATTTGTCTCACTGAGACGAACAAAATGATTTTTTTGTCGCCCTGTGTTGTTGTGGTGGTTCGATTTTGTAGCAATAAGGTGAGAAAAACGGTGGAAATGGGGCCCCTATCTCCACATTTGAGTTATGTTTAATATTTCTTTGAGGAATAATACGGGATGTAAATGATTGCTGGCACAGCTGCGAGAATACAAATCAGGCGTTTTTTAATTAGTTACAAAACATTGTGGTATTACCACGACGCATTTCCATATTATAGTGTAATAACACTTCCGGTGTGAGTGAATTTCAATTTTGGTCTTATTTGCATATCGCATTTTACCGTTTTTTCTTCTTGGGAAAAGAAGCGATCGATTCGGGTGATAAATAATTCGGAGTCAAGGGAATGGAAACATTTCGAATGCATTTTTAATGTATTTTTATTGTTAAAATATTTCACTTTCTTGTTTGCCTTGGAAAAATTGATTAGATCCGTATGGATGATCGGCTTGATTGCGTGTGTGGAATATGTTGACGTAAATTCGAGAGAATCGATACAAGAATATGTGTTTGATAAGCTTCTCAGGATCTGAGACAACTAATTGGAGTGTCAACATTGCGACGAAGTAATTCTTATCGGGATTCAGACGTCTAATGTGGTTGGAATTATTGCAGTATCATTTGAGCTAATTAACTCGAGATTGTTTACTAACGACTGTTAAGAATGTTTTCGGATTTTTTATCTTACTTGAGTAAGAGTTTTTACTGTTTAGTATCGAAAACTAAATTTTTTTCAAAAATCAAAAATTTTAAACTTGTATTAAATAACATTTTTTGCACTTGCAATGGTCTTAGAGACTCAGAAAGTTGAACAAAACAGCAAATTTTTAAGTTTTTTTGCAACTGTTTTTTTTGTTTTATTTTTACAGAACATACAGGATGCGTCAGAATTCGCGCACCAGAGAAAAATGCCATGGAAGGTACAATACCAGGAACATGGAAAAATGTAAAAAAATTTTTATAGCTTTACTAAATAATTATTAAAAAAAAACAAACAAAAAGATCATCAGTAAAAAAATGTCAAATGTTAAAAAATAAAAAAAAATTAATTTTTTTTCCATGTTTCTGGTATCTTATCATACTTGAAATTTTTCTCTGGGGTGTGAGTTCTGACACACTCTGTATTTGTAAATGTACAAAAATAAAGAAAAAAAATGATCAAAAAATTTTCGTTACAATATAGATAATTTAACTAAAAACATAAGTAAGTAAATCAAAAAAAAATTTCTTCTTTTTTTTTGTCTTCTTTAATGTTTCGAATAATTATTTTTGTCTTTGGATTGTAAAAAAAATAAAACAAGAAATTTAACCGTAATTAAAATTATATAGAAAGTGGCCAAAAAATTTTATGTTTTTGTCATTTTTTATTTGCCAAAGAAAAACCAGGAAAAAATGGGAAAAAACAGAAGAGAGAAAATTGTATGGATCTAAAGAGCGTTTTTTAAGGAAATAACAAAGCAAAAGTGGGTTTTTATGCAAAGGTGGAAGGTTTCGAGAAGAAAAATTGAAAATTTTTAAATACCATTAAAATTTTTGAAATTGTAATGGAATCTCCAATTCTCCACACTATCATTTTTAAGAATTTGTTTTTATGGAAATCAGCATTGTTTATAAA